CGCCCGGCCATGCACTGTGCACGGTTCATTTCCTGCCTCCCTGTTTGTTTGTATAGCAGGAAGCCAAAGCGAAACCAAGTTGGTCCCCCCACGCAAAACAACAACAACAACAACAAACTCCATCTCCATAGTGTGCGGCTGGTAATAGCGTGATTACGCTTTTCGATGCAAAAAGCCCAGCGTGCAGCGCACATGTGCTCGTAAACACCCACTCTTGGATCGCGCCGACTGTGTGTGATGTGAGTGCGTGTGCGCGCCTTTGTGTTGCTCAGCACGAGGCCGGTGGAGCTTCGTCCCATACAATAACACACACACACACACACACACACACACACACACTCACACACTGCAGGCATTCACGCGTGCTGGTCAGCAATGGAATTCGGGAGGATGTGAAAGTGTGCTGCAAAAGGAACAAAACCACGCAGACGAACGAGCGCGCACCTTCCAGACACAACACGGCAAAGTTGAATAATCAGATAATATGAACGTCCTCTTTGATATTCTTCTCACTCGGTTCTCCAGGATGAGACAATCGGATCCGTTGAGAGTGACGCATTGCCATATTTGTGCAACCCCCTCGCCACCTCCTTCATATTCTGCTCACTCTAGATGAGGAGGCAGATAAGACCAGTATGCTGTCCACAAGTTATGTAGCTGTTATCCATCACAGGGATTCTCCAACCTTGTAGGTCCACGGACCACTTACAGGGAGACATTGTTCCAAGGACCGAAAGCTTTGGAATGGATGGTATTCGGGGGCCCACTGTGAACAGCAATGTACTCATCTATGGAGCACATAAATATTCAGTTTCACTCTATCAGAGCTCAGAGCCACTGACGTGCACCCGACCATGCACAGTGCACGGGTGATGTCCTGCCTCCCTGTTTGTTTGTATAGCAGGAAGCCAAAGCGAAACCAAGTTGGTCCCCCCACGCAAAACAACAACAACAACAACAAACTCCATCTCCATAGTGTGGACTTGGTTTGTGTTTTCCTCAGAGGACAAGTTATTTGCAAAGTTTGCCGAGACTCCATTCGGACGTCGGATGGCAACACGACAAACCTATTTCATCACTTGCGGGAATAGCACCCAAAACTACGCCGATAGCCACACAAAACGGCGATCGCTAGAGGATTGCAGCCGCTAGCTACAAGCTAATACAGCCTATAGTAACACATTCATTTAACAAGGGCGCTCCATATTAAAAAAAAAAAAGGAAGCAGTGGAAAGACGTAACTGAGGCAGTGACTTATTATCTCGTTCAAGATATTTTCCACAGTAGAGACATTCCAAGTCTCTACTCTGAATGCCATGATAAGATTCAACGCCAAATTCAGTCCGTCCGGTTTGGAACAAATTGTAACAAAAGAGTCCTGTGTTGTTGTTCATTGCCTTTTATGTTTACGTTCATTGCATAGTTTTTTTTAAAAAAAAGAATTGCACTTTTTAAATTAAAACCTATTCAGAATGCTTATTTGGCTTAAAATGTCACTTTTTATCCTTTTAGGGTTTTACATACATTTTGAATATCTTTTATATGAGGAGGACAATGGTCAGTAATGTGCAAATTAGTGTAAAAAAAAGAATGATGGTCAAATCATGATTTTCTTTTTAAACAAATGTTGATAAGATCTTTTTGCCATATAGCCCACCCCTGGTTAAAAGTAACCCATGTTGGCGAAAATAGCTGAGCCCAGCACTGGGTCCCAAAGGGACAGATGCAATGTTGGGTCTTTGGGTTGAGGATTTGACCCAGCCCATTGGGTCAAAAATTTTCCTCCAAAAAAGGGTTGAAAACTACATGCACTGATGAGTTACAGCTACCAAGTAAAAGGTTACCGGGTAATCAGTATAACTGTGGTTAAAAATAGGACACATTTTATGACCAACATGTCCGAAGAAGAAGAAGGAACTTTCAGAGGTCACCAATGAGTCACTCGCACGGGATGTTCTTCCTGATGCAACCCATCCATTTTTATCAAGGCTTGACACGATGGTTTGGAGGAATCACCATGAAAAAGTGGGGGGATTTGCATCCGATAGATGGGCGAATATTCATGTCGTTTTGTGTAAAATGTGGCATAATGCTGATGTACAGTCTTACATAAGAGAGAAATGTTGACAATATGATCCAATATTTTATGGGAAGTGTAATTTTAAAAAACTAAAACAATAAAAATAGAAATGGTCTGGAAAAAAAAGTTAATGGTCTTTTTTTGTTTTGTTTTTGTTTTGTTTTTAGTGTTTCATCAAACCCCAAAAAGTATCCGGGTCACAACCAAACAAGAGAAAAATTGATGACAAGCTGAAATAACATGTTTTGTTTGTATTCGATGCTTTACTTCACAGGTGTCAAACTCAAGGCCCGGGGCCCAGATCTGGCCCACCGCATTATTTTATGTGGCCCGCCAAAGCAAATCAAAGATGACAACTTCCATGAGGTTTGCTAAAATGTGTTCCAAAATTTCAAATTCTCATATGTAATAAAAAAGAGAGATATTGTCAGCATTTTCTTGTTAGCAAACCCCTCATTGGAGTTACTTAAACAATAGTTGAATAAACCATTTTCCTTGACTTATTTCCTTTCACAGTCATAACGGCCCTCCAAGGGAAACGGTAACAACAATGTGGCCCGCGACAAAATTGAGTTTGACACTCCTGCTTTATCTTTATTTAAAAAATCTATTTCAGTATTAACAGTTGCTAGTGTTTTACATTATAGTACAGTACAAGGAGTAGAACCTAAACGCAAGACTTAGAGAGTTTGAACAGAAAAATCATATTGTTTAATAATGGGTTGAGTTCACCCACTGCATGAGCGATCAGCCACGCAGGCTACGGCATCGAAAAAGGAGCGAGGCAAAATGCAAGGTCGATAATCAAACAGGAACGAAGCTCACTTTAAGTCACTGGTAAGGACGAGGAATGATGGAAAGTGACCAAATGTTCCAGCGAACTGATAATGAGACAGAATGACGTGCAAGATTGAAATGCATGATGTAATCGGGAAGAATGAGGCACAGGTGAGGGAGGGCACAATCAGGAACGGGGTGAGCTCAAGACACACACACACACCCATACGCACATGCACAGTGTTGACAGAGAACTTCAAAAAGATGACAGAAAAAGAACCTGTAAGTGCAATATAATTAGCACACATCCATGTTTTTTCATTTTGTAATCTTTCTCAAATTATTTTGGAGTTAGGTATTGACTTAAAAGAAAAAAAAAAGAAATAATATCCCCTGATTAAAAAAAAAAAAAAAAAAAAAAGAGTCTTCACAAATGCTACTCTATATTACAAATCCATTACGTAGTGCACACAGGGTTGAATGTGGTACAGTAATGTGACTCCATCAATAAGTACTTGTGAGCCATCCTCTAGGGCTGGGCTAAAAGTATGTTATTGACAAACTATTGTGAGACAAACAAAACATAAAAACCTCCAGTGACTGTGAGCAGCAGCCTCCATGATGGACTCATTTTCTTAGACTTCTTGTCTGGCCCACAATAGTAAACACTATGCTCAAGCATAATTGTCCATTAGTGCACTCTGGCCGTGTCTGGAATGTAGCTTCTGGTTATTGACATCACTTATCACCTACTTTTAGTGATCTGTAATACTTTTATGATGGGCAGGTCTGTTATTTGCGCTTGTTCACACACAAAATTTGTTACAACTTGGAAAATTTGTCGACTTTCAGCACGTATTTAACAGTTTGTATTGCTCAACCAGTGTTCACAAACACCAGTGGTCAATAGAGGGCGCTAGATTGCCGCCCGACCACTGGCGGTGCTCTCCACTTTTTCCTTAAAGGCAATAAGTTCATCAAAATCTTGACGATCAAATAAAAATATTACGAAATGAATGTATATGGTTTTTTTTCTCATGAGCAGGATAAGTAGGTTGCTGTTGTAATGTGAGTAAAGTTACTTCGTTCATCACTGATCATCGATTATGACGCATTTCCGGTCTGTGGCGCAGAACTCTTTACTCATTGAGTCTAGTTAAGGTGCGCGTAGTGTTTCCTTGTTTTGCTTTAGAGATCTTCAGTAAGGTCAGTCATAGCCTGATAAAGCCATAATAACAATTTGAGCAATATGAGGAGATGAACCCAAATTAGGACTATAAGAATAGCCCTATATTAAAGGTCTTTGCCATATATTTCACGATTGAGGCTTCACGTGGCTTATGTTCTCATTGTTAACTTCTATTACATGTACGAATCCACATTTTTACTTTTTGCACACGGTTTCACCGTGATCTGGCTGGTGGCAGGCTGTCAGGCTGCTCACTATCGCCACCTTCCTTGAGGCAGAGGTACTGGCTGCCTCAAGGCAAGCAGTTTCCGTGCGGATTTATGTCATATCGGCTGACCATGCCTTACCTCTTGTCTACGAAGAAGACTCCATTTATTTAAGCAGGAAATACAGAATTTTAAAATACATTAAAAACCACACCAAATTCATAGTCCAGAGGACACATATTAATACTTATTTTATTATTTCGTTTCTTTTTCCTCTCATGATTCCTCTCTGCCTCCCCTGAACGCACATCACTAATTTAGTACTGTCAAGCACTTCACTAAAACCAAGTGACCATTAACTTCATATCATACATTTTCAGTCCCATTTTGAAATGTTTGAAAGTGTTGAGAGTTCTCAGGTTGCCGGCTCGAATCTTGACTCCAGGCTTTCTGCGTGGGTTTTGCATGACTCTTCGCAAGCTTGCTTGTGTTTTCTCTTCTTCGGCTTCCTTGTACACTCTTTATACGTGCATATTATGTTCCTTGTCTGCCCTAAATCCTAACTTGGCAAACTTTTGTGCTCAAGGGCGACATTTGATTTATTAAGAAATACAAGACCTTCTTTGTGAGAATCAATATCAGGCATAGACGCCACAAAACAACGTGAGGAGTAAATCTGATTTGAGGCGCGCTAAATGCAGTCTCAAGGTTTACTTAGGATGAAAAAGCTTGACTGGCCGGCTGCCAGGCAACAGGCAGCGTCGTGGATTGTTTGCGAAAAGACAACATTGATACAAAACTGAAATGCTGCCCACTTGACATGATGTGTCACGACTTTGGACGCTATGTAGCATTGAACAGCAGATGTAATGAATGCTTTCTGTGGATTAAGAAAAAAAAGTCTGCATACCCCTGTTCAAAAGCCAGGTAAATCATTTCAAAATGTTACCACTCTTAATTGTGACCCATAAATGTTACATTTCAAATGAAATCTTTTCAAGACGGCAAGTTAAAAAAAAAACCCTTAGACTATATGGTTGCAAAAGTGTACACACCCTATTATAACTGCATTGTTGCTGTGTGTCACATTTAAACTCTTGTTAAACAGGTGTACCTTAATTGCACACCTGCCACCATTGAAAGTGGCTCATTAACCCCCCAAAAAGATTGGTGTTTATAGTACGCTTTTCTTGACATTGGTTTTTGTGGTAAAACAGGTACAGGATTTAGACATCATAATTCCTTCTACCTTGACTGAAGCTCCGGTTCCAGCTTCATTTAAACTTTACATCCCCTCTTGAAACCATTAAAAAAAAGATTTATACGGGTTACTGGTCACATCAATGGTGGGGAAAAAAGTTTTCAAATTTGTAATTCTTTTTTTATACCACGATTAATATTTGAACAGTGCCTGCGTGGGTTTACTCCACTCTGGTTTCCTCCCTCATTCCACAAACATGCATGGCAGGTTAATGGAACACTCTAAATCAGGGGTGTCAAACTCATTTCTCATTGTGGGCCGCATACAGCTTCGGTAGATGTCAAGTGGGCCGGACCATTAAAATTATACCATACTCTGCTCTGCTATAAATAACCAAAATATCATGTCTTTCCTTTGTTTTGGTCTAAAGAAGCACAATAACATTGGAAGATGTTAAAATGTAATCTACATATCTTTTACAAAACATGTCATGAAACACCTTAGATTTCCTTAGACAAATGTGCAATTTACTTTTATCATTCACATATACATGTATGTATTGCAACTGATCCCACAGATTGTACAAAGGCACAAAACTTTAACAAGTAATTGGTATTGAAAAATGTTGTCATGCATTTTAAGATTAAATGAGATTTACAAAGAAAGGAATTTTTAAACCATTTACACATGCATATAAAATCTAAATTCAATCCCTGCCTGCACTTTACAAAATGGGTGGATGGATGGATAAATGGATGGACTTCTCATATCCACTGCCTTACTTTATTTTCATTAACTTTGCAATCAGGCTGATAATCATATAGTTGCTAAAGATAGGACAATAAAAAAGAAATTACATATACTGTACATGAGAATATAATACAGCCTTAAAGCCATTCCTTCATGATACATCACTGACAAATACAGCTAGTCTCGTTGACGTTTTGTGGCCTACGCACGCCTGTGCGATCACACATGCAGTTGGTTATTTTTACCTCCCTCAAAAATATACACATTTTTCCGAATTGCATTGCAAGGCAAGGTAGCTTTATTTATACGGCAGGTTTCATGCACAAGGCCACTCAAGTAAGCAAAGACACGACACCTAAAAGCATTTACAAACACAACAGTTAACGACATTCAGAGGGAAAGCAGAAAAAACAAAAATATCTTTCCAAAATTAGGAGTACATTGACAACATTGAAACATATTAACCGAAAACATTTAAAAGAAATAAGAGTGGGTTTCTAAAGTTACAACAAGAAAAAAAAATACATACAAAAAAATAGAAGACCTGAATCAAAAACACAGTATAGGGGGAAAAAACGTTTTTAAACTGCATTTATACACATTATTCAATTTGTGTGCAGCATAACAGCTAAATGCAGCTTCACCATGACTGAACAAAAGGGGTCCAAGGACTGACCCTTGAGAGACCCAACACGTCATGGCCATTCGATCAGATTCAGAACTTCCAATGGTCACAAAGAACTCCTTTCCTCTCACGGAGACTTGAACCATTTCAGGACTGTTCCAGTCGATCCCATTCAAGTTTCCAACCTGTTCAACAGTATGATATGCTTTTATCAAACGACTCACTGAGATTGAATAAGAATAATACCGACACCTTCCCTGCATTCCTTGCCAATCTTGGTTAAAAAGCTTGGGTTTGAGATGTCTATAATTTGCTAACGAGGAGACAAGGAAACTCGCCTGACTGAAGTGAGCAGTTGATGACCGTATTTGCTGGAACTCGGTTTGAACAGATTTCATTTTGACTTGGTTATGAGTCAAGACAGCTATTGTATGGGTTAAAGGTCACAATCATGGTGGAACAAAGTTGTAATTTATCTTGGTGTCATTTTCCGTATGACAAAAACAGGCATTTGAACAGGATTGTGTCGACTTTTTTTTTTTTTTTTTTAATCAATAGCGTCAAGACCTTTCAGTACACGCAAAGATGATTAGAATTCAAGTCACATTGTCACCATGTCTAAGTGTGCTGCCCGGCTTGTGATAAACAAACTGAGCACTTAATTTTGTTCGACACCATAATTTATGCCAGTGCTCCTCTCGCCAGTTTATGATCACCGCCACCGCGCATAATACAAATTAGAATGAAACATCAGCGCTACAGATAATTAGTACATTTATTCATCCATTTCCCACAGTGTTTGTCCTCATTTGAGTTGTGCGTGAGCTGCAGCCTATAATTTGCATGCTCTCCCCGTGGTTCCGGCCACATTCCAACGTTCAAACCCAGAACGCGAGTACTATAGGGCAGACGTTACTCACCACTGTTCATCGAAATGCCAATAAATCCATCCAACAATTTTCTTTCCTGCTCTAATGGAATCCCAGTTGACTGGGTGAGAAAATGGCTACACACTGGCCGGGTGGATGCCAGTCAATCACAAGATATAGAAAGAGTCCACAAAGTCAAATCAGGTTTTGACATGCACGCGGTCATGCGTTGTATGTGTCATACAATGAATGCGCTTGTGAGCCTTGATAACAATCACTCTGAACGATAAAAATAAATGCACTAAATTTGCATGAAATAAGCCACAATTGTTCGGGATTTTTTTTTTTTTATGTGTGTGTTGTAAACCAAGAGGGATGCACTGTTTGTACAACATTTTGGAATTATACAATACACACTCAAAATGTATTTAAAGACCTTCAAAAAAATCATCAATGTGCTGTAAATGCTATCAAAACATCTTTTGGTAATATTCAAAAGTGTCATTTTGCTCTTGGCGAAGGTGATCTGGAACCAAAACCCCGCGAATGGAAGAGGGGGGATTACTGCACTTCACATTTTAGCTGCGGCAATGTCCACGGAATGTATCTTGGTTGTTCAAGACGGGAAGTGGATGAGCCCGGGTGGGAGGCAGAGCAGGTTGGTTGTGAGTTTTGGTAGTTTTTCCTTGGTCACAGTGGTTTTCATGCGGGAGCTTTTGACTGATGTACTGCCGTCAGAACATATTGTTAGCTTTAACAACATCAGAAGTGACTTTTTTTTTTTTAAACCTGCAAACTCCCCTTTATGTTTGTATCAGTACGTAGCTCAATCCAAATGCACACATAAAGGGCGAAGTTAAACCGTGCCGCTGAGTGAACCATAACAAATGTGGGGATGAATAACAGAGCTGAGTGGAATGTCTTGTCTTTTTTTTTTTTTATCCATGATTTTAATGTAACTGCAGTAAGCCTGCCTGTGTGAAGTCATGCATTTCCTCTCCAGGGGGTACGCAAGTTTCGATCACAATATCCATGTAGGGCAGAGCGCTTTCATGCTGGCCTTTGTGCGTATTGTCTCTCCAAAGTTGTTTCCAAGAATGATCATGTGGATCTTTTTCAAAGTCAAATGTAAAAGTGTTTGGGGGGGGGGGGGGGAAAGAAAAAAAATTCCAAGTAGGTTTATGGTAAATGAGTTTCCATGATACAGATGGATGGACAATGATCAGATCCTAGACAAGGACCTCTGCACCATCCTTTGGCTTTGACAAGGGCACAGGTAGCCCCTCAGATGTTTGCGTACCTTGCTGTGCAGCGAGGCGTAGATGAAGGGATTGTAGCAAGCCGAGCTCATTGCCACTAAATGACAGCACACTTGTAAGACGTTAATGTAGCGCTTGCCGATGATGTCGCAGTCTGGGTCCAGGTCCAACAGCAGGTTCAGAACCTTAAAATGACATGATCACTTCAGAAACATGCAGGATACTGTATTTGTAGTACACATGTCTAGTGCTGGGTCAATAAATTTCTCTGAATGATCAAAATAAATTTACAATGTAACTTTTTGGAAAAGATGTAAAATGTAAGAAGCTATTATTTGTTTTAAATGTAAAGGTAAAAGTAATTCAATTGAAAGTAGTCAATACGTTACGACCTGGATTAAGTAAGTAGTTACCTTCAATTGACAGCAACTGTTAATGTACACCGAATTATATTTTGGAAGTAACACTACCAAAGCATGCATCCATATTCGATGCGATGTATCCTGTTCCGAGTCACATTAGGGGAAGCTTCACACTTAAATGAAACTGAGTGACAGACACAGTCGATTCCATGCCAGCAGTATGAAAGTCAGCTTGGTAAAGAACAGAAAAAGCTAGAAACTTTTTTTTTTTCAGAGTGAATGAAGAGAATTGTTTTTGGATGTTGGAGATCTTACATTGATATTATGTGCGTCTTGTATGATTTGTCAAATTTCTCCAAAACAGCGAGCAATATTGAGAAACTCTGGCAGTGAATGGGTTAATTTCATTGGTGTAGGGCACTTGTGTCAAACTCAAGGCCCGGGGGCCAGATGCAGCCCGGCAGGTCATTTTATGGGGCCCATGAAAGCAAATCACATGTAGGAACTTGCTCAAATCTGTTCCGAAATGTCAAATTGTCATGTGTAATAAATAACTTTGAGATTTTGCAATCATTTTGTTCCTCTGTTTACCCTCACTTGAACAAAGTACCGTATTTCAATCGATTTGACTGATTTCAAAACTAGATCTCGATTCATTTGTTGTGTAAAAATAATTTTGTGGTTTCACGTTCGAACTTTTCGAATCCTGCAGGGTTACTTCTTAATGTGGTAGTTTGTTTCCTAAGCCCCCCCGGGTGGTTTTCATAACCCATTTGGCACAAACTGCGCTTGCAAAAGACATGCCTGCCTTCCCGTTTCCACTGATGATCGACTCTTTTGCATGGCTCATTGTGGATCTAATAGCGGAATGGTGAGAATCATGAGCTTCTCTTCTAATATTGTCTGGAAAGCTCATCTTTTCATGCACACTTAATCCGGTGTGTGGATTTCAGAGCCGTAATATGTCTCCAAATGGTCTCCGTGAAGCATAAAAAACTCGAGTCCATAAGAAAGGTTAATGGAGTCACTTTTTGTACATTATCTCACCTGCAAAGGCAGCCAACACAGTGCAAATGCAAGCACTGAGGCCACCAGTAAAGTGAAGGTCTTTCTCCGCTTTTGCTTCCAGTGCTGTCCCCTGCTCGCCTGCTCCCCGGGCACAGAATAGCGTGTCAGACTGACGCTGATGGCGCAGTACGAGATGCTCACGGACAGCAGCGGGATCATGTAAGAGGCGATTAGGATGAAGCAGGAGTAGAGCAGTCGTAGGTTGCCGCTTTCCGGCCAGAATTCTTCGCAAACGACCAGCTCGATGCCGCTCGGCCGGAGGTCCAAGTAGCGCGTGTAGAAGGACGGCGGAGCGGCTAAGGCCAGAGATAAAAGCCACACGGCCAGCGTCACTGCACCGCAACCCCACAAAGAGATCCTTCGACGCACTGGATGAGCTGAATGAAACAAAAACCGGACAAAGTTAAACATTTTTCATTATTTTGGTTAGCCAGCACGTCTAAAAGCCAGTAGAATCGCGCTGTCAGCCAGTCCACAACAACAACAACAACAACAACAACAACAACAACAACAAAAAGGCACCAGGCTACTTTCTGTTCGATTGCTTATCAATCAGCATCAAATATGCTATATCGTCCATCACCCTTATGAGGAGAAGGCCAATGGAAAATTAGAGTCTAACTGATTAATCGGTCGATATGAACTTTTTAATCGTGATTTTCTTTCTTATTCTAATTGTTATATTTTACACATTACAACATAAGTGACACTCCATCCCAAAAGTTTGGTAAAAAAAAAAAATCTGATTTTCCCCCCACAATGCGAGTGTCCGTTGTAAAGTTATACAAATACCATCGGAAGTACCGTAATATTAAACATTCTAATGTTCTACCTGTAATCCATTCATCCATTTTCCGATGCGCTTAATCTCACAAGGGTTGCGGGGGTTGTTGGAGCCTATCCCAGCCGTCTTCGGGCAATAGGCGGGGGACACCCTGAACCGGTTGGCAGCCAATCACAGGGCACACAGAAACGAACAACCATCCGCACACTCACACGTAGGGACAATTTAGAGTGTTCAATCAGCCTGCTATGCATGTTTTTGGAATATGGGAGGAAACCGGAGTACCCGCAGAAAACCCACACAGGCCCGGGTAGAATGTGCAAACACAGGGAGGCCGGAGCTGGGATCGAACCCACAACCTCTGCCGCCCCTTCTGCCTGTAATTCATATCTTTATTTGTGTTCCTGTCAAGGGACCCCAAAATAACTTATTTAATTCATTCTATTTTTTTTTCAGGTAATTCGCTGATTAATCGGAAATTGGATCCAGTAAAATATTGGCATTGGATTAAAAAAAAAAAGTCCTTATCGATCAGGCCCTAAATTAATGAATGGATGGCTAAAATGTATATTGACAGTATATTGACAACCTATGTAACAGACATGTTCTTAAGAACACCTTGAAAATGGTTTTAAAAAAAATTAAATGCATTATTGGCCTTTGAAAAAAAACACTCAAGAAAATGAATACCCCAAAAAAGTCCCACAATGTATCTTAATTTACCACAGTGGTTCCAGAAAAGTGTGCTTGCGCTGCACTGATTGGCCTTGCATTGCAGGGGGCGTGGCTTATTAAAAAAAGAACTGAGACCAGTAAGGGCGTTGGCAGGACACCTCCAGGCATGATTTGCAATCATTTGTCTCACCTAGGACAACGTATCGATCCACCGCGATGGCTGTGAGGGAGAGCACCGATGCAAACACCGTGGCGCATTGCACCAGGGGCACCAAATGACACAGGGGTCTCCCAAAAGCCCAGCCGTGGCTGTCGAAGGCATAGGACATGGTCAACGGCACACAGCTCAAACACATCAGCAGGTCTCCAGCGGCCAGGTTACCGATGAAAAAGTTGGTGGCGTTGTGGAGCTTCTTGTCCACCAAGATGCAAGTCAAAAGGAAGGAGTTCCCCACGGCGGCTATGACCACCACCAGGCAGTAGAGAGGCATGAAGAGAAGTTTGAAACGAAGCAGTAGCTCCATTCCAATGAATATTTCCACCGGGTCACTTTGGTTCATTGCTTGACTTTTGTCCCCTGCCAGTCTGTCTTGTTGCGTTTGGTGGCTTGTGTTGACGTTCGCATCAAAGTCTTCTTTGATGAGGATGTCCATGATTGCCTCTGGAGAAGCAGGACAAAAAGTCCGTCATAAATCAATTGGCGACAGTGTGGTCGTTTACACGTCTATTTTCTTTAAGCAGGTGTCAAAGTGAAGGTGGGCAGAGGCCTCCCCGACATTTACATTTGTGTGATCCAATTCAGCAAATGAACTGCGTCTTACTTTATGTTGATTTCATTCTCAATGGATTCGTTATTCTTCACTTTGGTCAAATATCTGTCAGATTTTTTTTTTTTCACGAATGTCACACACATTAGTGACATTTCAAGCCGACACGCCTCTAAAGTAGCGTATCATGATTCCTCATGACAAGGTTTTCACTGAATGTTCATCTGGGATCACTGACATCTTATTTTCCTGTCACACTATGAGCCAGCAAGCAGCAGGCCATGAATGAGCCTTTTTCTTTAAATAGCGGTTCAAGGCCAATCAATCCTACCACAGCGTGATTTAGGGGTGCCCACGCATACAAGGCGGGTGGCATGAAATACATCAGGACTAGCAGTCTTGCTGTCACACTGCATGTTATCTGCTTTTTTTGTTTTGTTTTGTTTTGTTAAGAGTCAGACTGTAAAAATAATCTTTCTGTTTTTTTAAACAGTTACAAGCGATCATGTGTAAAAAGGCGTAATGTTGGTGCTGATCTCCGGAGCTGAGCGTGCTTCTTCTCAGGTGCCAATTACATGAAGCACAAAGGTTGAGTAAAGGACAGATGCTCGTTAGTTATCGATCTTCCCTGGAGGAAGTGGCAGCGCTCTTCATTATTGAGGAAATGTAGTTTAATCTTTCAAAAAGAAAGATGGATGTTTTATGAATAATTGGAAAAACGTTTTTATTTATTTATTTGAAACACTTATCGTATCAAATTGTCAAATGTGGACTATTATTTATTTATTTTTTTTTAATGAATTGATCATAATTAGTTTTGTCACACAAACAGTGCGCCATAGCAGCGTCTTTGTTCCTGCTTTTCACTCTTTGAATGTCTTGGCCAAGCATTTATTTAGCATGCATGGAAGCTCATCATGAGAGAAATTCACGCAAGAGGCACTTAATGTTGAAGAAATTGCAATGCAAAGATGGGATCCCCCCCCCCAACACAGAGTAGTAGCCCCCCCCCCCCCCCCCCATCATATCTGCGCCGAATGAATAGATTCAGGAGATAATGTATGCTGAATATTTGCTTGATAGATCAGTTAGGCAAATTCCTTTCAAGTTATGTGGAAATGTGCTCCTTTTTCTGCACAGTCAATTACCAGTCCCATGGATAATTTTCCAACCAATTAGTTCTATCTGGTCTCCAGCCCACTTGCAAGATGGGGGCTTTCAACTCCATCTGTCTGTCTGCACTATATATATGTGTATATATATATATATATATATATATAAAATTCTTTTTCCTTAATTTTGAATGCAAAAGAAAAAAATCAGTCCAACCCAAATCTGTTAGAATTTGATGCCTTTCCATAGGATGGTGTTTGAAAACATATCTAATGACAATTAATTTATTCATACTATGACAAATCACATAAATGGGGCACAGCAGACTAATTTCATGCATCATCTTCTTAAGCAAATGGGAAAGCCAAACCATGGACTTGTAAAGACAAAATGTAGTTTCCTCAAGTGCATATGAAATATCTTTTACATGTTTGCCTTGTTTTAATACTCTTTTGAACAGGATATGCCTCATTATTACATTTTTGAATCTCAGACCAACATTTAAATGCTCATGATTGACATCTATATTGCAAAAAGAGACGTAAGATGAATGACTTACTGTAGCCGATTAGAGATGCAGATAAAGCCCTCTACGCATAGGCAAATTATGTTTTCTTCTTCTTCCTCGACTCTTTTATTCAAATACAGACTAATACTCATTTAACAAAAAAAATAAATAAATAAAGAAAAAAACCCTCATATATAGTAATGCACTTATGCACCCGCGGTGAAGGGCAGTCAGTCAGTCAGTCAGGAGGACTCACTGAGAGTGAGTGAGTGAGCGCGGGAGCGAGGAAGGACCAAAACGCAACCCACGTAACCTTGAAAGAAGAGAGGAGAGGTCTGTCTGCTCCCCTCCCGTCTTGAAACGCAGGAGCAAATCAATGAAGTGTCAAGTCTTTAAAATGACCAAGTCCTGCCCACTCTTATTTGGCATTGTGTGGAAAGGCTACCTGCTGTGCTGGTACAAGTCATCTTCCTTCTAGTTGATGAATAAATGGTAATTTTTAGCTCCGAGGCGTTTAAAAAAAAAAAAAAAAAAAAAAAAAAAGGGCAGAGGTACAAGGAACCGGCCTTCCTGTGGGGAGTTTGCATAATCGCCCTGTTCCTGCGTGGGTTTTCTCCAGGTACTCCGGTTTCCTCCCACATTCGCAAAACATGCATGGCAGGTTGATTGAGCACTCGAAATTATCCCGAGGTGTGAGTGTGAGCGCGGATGGTTGTTCATCTGTGTGTGCCCTATGATTGAAATGGCAACCAGTTCAAGGTGTACCACGCCGACTGCCTGAAAACAGCTCAGATAGGCTCCGGCATGCCCAGCGACCCTTGTGAGGATATGCGGGTCAGAAAATAGATGGATGGGTAGATGTTCAACCAATGCATATCATTTTGTCGAAATGTTGCTAGCTCATGCTAACATATAATGCAATTGTGTCAAGCAAATTTGCATAGACGCTACAATAATTAAAAGCCTTCAAACAAATTATGTCATAATCTGGTTTAAAATGGTCGCCTGTCAATGACAGGGCACATTTAGACAAAAACCAAGCAACTTACTGCAAGTGACTTTCAACCGGTTCATGATGAAGACAGCTGGGATTGGCTCCAGCATGCCCGTGACCCTCGTGGGGAATAGGCAGTTCAGATATTGGGTGGATGGACAAACAATTTGCACTGGACCGTTCATAGTCATTCGTTCACCTAAAATATTTGTTTTATTTAAGGAAATTGAAAGACAGTTGCGAACAATGCCAAATGCAAACAGAAGGACCTGAGCTAGGATTTGAACCTCTAAGTGTGAAGTAGACGTGCTAACCTGTGGATAGCGCGCTGCTTTGTAATATCGGGAACAAAAGGCTTCTTTGGCATTGTCATGGCAGCACTCTTATTACCGAATGTAATTGGTCCATAATATTGGCGGACCAGACAGCACACCTATCATGCTGTGTTACCAGCAGGCTATGATAGCACCCCTGTTCAGAGTTGTTTGCAGTGCCCGTGCAGACTGCAAAAAGGCTACCTAATGAAAACACTACACCTGCGAGAGCTCAAAAGGAACAGCAATTCCTTTCGTTAATATATACACTAAACCTTCTTATTTTATCTGACTCCAAGTCCGAACCCTAACATTCTGAAAGTGTGTCCAGTTTCAACAACCCCTTGAAAAAAGATTTGTCTCTTCACGGCATTTCTTTTCAATTTATTTGCCCTTTTCGCTGCCAGGGGTCTCCTTGTTTGAACTATTACAGGGAGTGCAATAAAGGTCTGCTGCTCAAAATCTCAACTGTTCTCTTTGCAGCCATTATACACCCTGGTCCAAATGGAGGAATCAATTCAGTGCAGATAGAGCGCTCAATAGTAAGTGCCATCCAGGTGCGACCGTGGATGCTCATAGGCGCACGAGGGGCCAAATGACCGAGCAGTGCATATTGATCTGACAGAATTCTGAGGGAACAGCATTTTGCAGAGAGTGAAGCGAATTTGCGGCACTAGCACCTCCATCTCTCTATCCTTGAAATTCGTCATCGTTTTAGATGTCATCACCGTCATATTCCTTTGAAAAATGTGCATGTTTTCATACATCAACCAAACGAATGACCAAGTTTTTAATCTGTTTAATTCAGTCTAGTCGAGTTGTGTACATGGGCATGGTCATTTGTGAGAGTTGAACCTTACCTACTTCAATATTCGAAAGCACACTTTTTATGACCGGGAGATTATTTCACTGGAGGCGGCACGGTAGTCGACTGGTGAGCATGTGTGCCTCACGGTGCAGAGGTGGAGGGTTTGAATATTCTTCCCGTGACTGCGTGGATTTTCTCCGGGTACTCCGGTTTCCTCCCACATTCCGAAAATGTGCATGGGAGGGTAACTGAACACTCTAAAATGTCCTTCGGTGTGACTGGTTGTTTATGTGTGCCTTGCAATTGGCTGGCAGTTAGTTCAGGGTGAAAAAGACAAGTGGCTCTACCGAGCCCATTCTCCCCTATTTGGTTTACAGATTGCAATGACATTCATGTCTCTGGAGAATTCAGTGACTGATTTACAGACAGCCTCAATTGTCAATGACTCACATCTCGTTTCTCATTCACAGTTTAAGTGCAATGGAAGTGTCAGAATTCAGAGAAATGAAAAGCACGCACATCCAGGCGCTTAAAAAGAATTTACAGTAGATGCAAGCTGGAGAATCAGTCCCTTACTATGCACGCCATGTATGTTACAGCTTTACAGACTTTGCTCTGTGTGTCTGTCTGAAATCAAACTTAATTAGCAGCGCTGGGCCTTCAGGACAGCACTTTAACTTCAGTCATTAAAATGGGGAAAGAAAGAAAGGAAGAAGAAGAAAGAAATGTGTAATAGCAATTTTCTTTCTCTAAATTCAATGAAAACACTATAGTAATGAAAAAAAACAAAAATCATTCAGACATCGGGTTTTTTTTGTGTGTAGGTGACACATAAACGTTTTTTTAAGAACTTGAAGAAAAGATGTTGTCTTGCGGGTTGATTTAATAGATTTTCACTCACACCACCACCACCCACTTACGTCGCTGTGCAATGACAAGCAAACTTGAGTCTGTTTGTCTACAACACAGACAAATGAAGAGAAATAATACATTTCAAATACCAGCAGTGACAATACTAGTACAGAATGCATTGGATGTGTTCCACAGAGATGGTTTTCAGTCCTGTCCGCTGAGAAGGAAGTTGTCCTCCAAACTGTCCAAGGCCTCCCCTTGTGTAATTGCCTTCCACTCTTCTGGGATCACCGATGGCTTCTGGTTGTATTTCTTTGCAAACCTCTCATTAAATCTTGCTAACACATACCTTCAAATGAAAGATAAATGTTGTTATTTGACACGCATGGCATAAAGGCTGTCGCCAACAAAAGACCAGTGATGACATCTGAGCATACCTCCAGTAAGGAATGGGTGTCTGGCTGCTTGGTTCTTTGGTTGGATGATTCCAGTCTGGGTGGAGGGGCTGGAGTTCCCAGCAAGCCAAAAGGACCTCTGCTGGGTCCAGCTCATCAGGGTTTGTCCTCTCAGGCGTAGTCAGAGAAGTGGGCCCCAGCATGTATTTGGGCCTGTGGAGCGAGGCCTCGTGAAACTGATGTCCAGTTTGTTGTACTTCACAAGGTGCACCGCACACCGGACATCGGGCATCACAGCCTTTTACTTTGTTGAAAAGGCAGTCTCTTGGTTGAGTGGGAAGGCACTCCAATAGTTGGTCGCTCCCCATCTGTTGGGAGAAAGCCTGGGCAAGCTCCAAGCGCAATGCTGCTAGCAACTCCATGAAACATGTGATAAAGCGATCCCATTCCGTGGTGATACTGTAGAGCGGTCCATCCAGAGCCTCCCAGGGGATACATGCATCTCCGTCCTCCAGAATGAGACACACTTGCTTCAGCATCGGCTTGGTGTCAGTCAACACTGCGCCGGTGCCTACTGTTACTTGGCTCACAGCTGCTGCCACCTTTCCGACGATGTCTCCTAGGCGCTGTTGCCTCCATGCATTCATATTCCAATCTGACAAGTAAGCTCGTACCGTCTCCTGGATTTTCCTTAGCCTGAAGCTGTCGTAAGAAAGCAAGTATTCCACGAAGCTTTCAAAACTGTCTTCCTTGATGAGATCTTCTAGCAAACTCTTGTGGAAGGCCTGTGGGGAGAGATATTGTGGGGCCTTACATTGGATCTCGTCTGCGATTTGCATGCCGAGTGGTTGATAGACATAGTCCATCACTGTGGGTTGGATGATGTCAGAAATGAACCTATGAGCCAACCTCTGGCGCTGGTGTCTCTTCCTGTACTGATATACGAAATCCGCCATGAACGTGCTCTTTTTGGCTTTAAAAGACTTCAGAAGATCTCCATCCTTGGCGAAGCGATTGTGGACTTTTTGGAAGTCTCTGCATGCAGCGTTACATACGAAGACTTTCAGATCCACCTCAAAGGCTGCTCTGATTTCCAATTGCGCCTCTTTCAAGGTTTTATCAATCATCTCTAACAGTTCTGTGATATAACTGTCGGAGAAGTCTCCTGGTAAACTGACCTTTTCCAAGACAAACTGCTGGTAATGCTCCATGACGTTACATGCAAGTTTCTGAGCTTTACTCTTTGGTGATTTGTTGTTGCTTTCAAACAGGTTTTTCATTCTGCTGCTGTAACCAAAGTACTCATCGTGCACTCTAAAGATCGTAGTTTGATTTTGGCCAAAAGCCGAAAGCTTATTCAGGTGCTTTTGGAGACCGCGGCTTTTGAGGTTCGCCGCGAGAATGTTCATCACCCTTGTGGTAATATCATCTGTTTCTGAAGGCCTGAAGTCACATTTGGACAATGCCTCCTTCCACACACCCTCAAATTCCTCTTCTAGCGCGTCATCTTTAACGAGCTGGTTTTCAGATTCTCCGCTGTCTAAAAGTGCCTGAAGCTTGTCATTTTCTTCCATTTTCAGTGTGGTTTCCATTCTGTTGAGCTGAGTGGAAGAAAAATGGTTCTCATTCGTTATTTCCAGCCTTTTTATTGTCATTGTAGTTACTTGTTCTTCCAGGTCCATCATATTCTTCAGAAGGATAGTTTGGAGTACCTTCATGGACACATCGAACTTGTTTTCCCTCAAGCTGGCCTTCACCCGTGACTTTTGTTTGTTTATTTCCCTTTTGACCTCTCTTCTCGCTTCATACTTTAGTTCACACAGAAAGTCGTTCTGGCTGGCTGGATCCAAAGCATCTGGCTCGGTGGAATAGATTGTCTTGGTTGCTTGTGTTAGCCAGCATTCCATGTGTTCCAGCAAACTGTCCTCCCATTGAAAAAGCTCAGTGCAAAACATAGAAAAGACCAAAGCGATGTCTTTATTTTGCAGACTAACAGAAAAGGATTCTGCTTTTACGGCCTCCCAAACAGAACACAAACGGCCCATAAATTCAAGCCAACCACATGGTTTTGACCGAGTGGCTGCCTCCTTCAGTGCGCCAAATAGGGTGCACTTTAACTTCAGCATAGCCTCACTATGCTGAGTGTCAACTGATTTTGAGAGGGGCTCGGTGTACCATGGTCTAACATAGAGAATAGAGTTATTTTTATTTGACTCAGGAATCATTGTCTCAGCATCTCTATGGGTTCTTTCTCCATTCTTAGTCTCAGTCTGCAGAATGTCGGATACACGTTTTAACTGTGTGGCTTCTAATATAGCGTTGATACCTTCATCCTGGACGAAAACTTTGCAAATGGGCATGGAGCCACATTCTCTGATGCGCAAAAGAGCATTGACTGCAACTGTGAGGCTTGTCTCAAGCTCAGAAGCTGTACGTGAGTAGAGGTTTTGCATTAAAACATCACTCATTCCGGCTGCAACAGTTGCCATTTCATTATCAGTGACCTGAGTGCTTATTTGACGGTCTGGTGGAGGAGAGCAGAGACCCTCTACGTCAATCAGTAGGAGAAAATCGCAGTTTAGCTTCTTCTTCAACTTCGGCGGTAGTTGTAAGGCAATCATGTACACCCCTCTTGTTGATCTTTGACATCCGTCTGGAAATTTCACCCCAAATAATGCCGAAAGGATCTCGGCATTCCTTGCGTGATGCACTCCAACACAAGTCAGAACCTTCAAGCGGTCTCCAGGAAAACGATGTTTGATTTCTGCAAGAACACTGCCAAGCCAGCGCATGGGAATATTAGAAGCAACTCCATCCATGAGTTCAAGCGGAATGCCACTGAGAATCAAGTCAGCAGCAACACTCGGGAGTTGGAGCACATTATGACTCCCACTACCAGGGGTGATGTGGGTGAGTTCAAAAATGAGGCCTATCTCACGCAGAAAGTGCTCAAGTCCTAACAAAAATGGTTGTGTCGATTTTGCTACCGGAGCTCCGACAGATGCGGCTTGTGTCTGTTCTTGTACAGAATATGTCTCCTGATCGGTCGCTGCACAGAAGTCATTTATATGAATCTTATCCGTTCCATTATCTCCAAAAACTGGGTCCCAAAATTTTTTCTCTTCGAGTATCGTTTCGATGGATGTCTCTTCTTCATTTGAGGAGTCGAAATGCCCATTTTGCAGAGACTCTGAGTCCTCATTGTCTGTGCGCTGAGGAATGTACTTCAAACCTACTTCACTCTCCGAATCGGTAAACTCAAGATCACTATCTGTAAACTGCTCAAGCTCTGGCAAAAATGGCTGTGCAGATGTTACAGCCTGAGCTTTAACTGAGGGATTTTGATGTGGTTGTTCTTCAGGAGAAGTCGCCCGAAAGACTGAATCAGTGAAGTCATTCCCATCAACCTTGAAGGGTGCCTTTTCGCGCAACACTGGGTTTGAAGAAAAAATATCTTTCAGACTCCTTTCAGCCAGGAACTCTTGTTTTTTGGAATCAAAATGTCCATTTTGCAGAGATTTTGATTCTTCATTATTTGTGCTTTGAAAAATGTGCTTCATGCCTACCTCGCCCTCTGAATTGGCAACTCTGAGATTATTTTTAAGAATTTCTTCACTTGGGAACTCCTCCTGATTTTTGGAGTTGAAATATCTATTTTGTAGAGTTTCTGATCTTTCCTTGTTTAGGGGTTGAAAACCTTGGTCACTGTCCGGATCAGCGACCTTCAGATCATTGACAGTACGCTGCTTGAATCGCAGCAAAAATGACTGTGCAGATGTAGATGTCCGACCTCCATCAGATGCATCCTGGCACCTTTGTTCTTTCCTCGAAGAAGGCTCCTTAAATGTTAATGCACTGAAGCCAGTCCCTTGAACCTGTGAGGTTCCATTTTGCAAGACCACTGAGTTTAAAGAAACATTACGTTCAAGTAAATCTTCACCGAGGATCTCTTCTTCATCTGGTGGGAAAACATTTTCCGTTTCCAGAGATTCTGTTCCTTCATGAATTCCGTTTTGAAAACTGTGCTTCAAACTCTCTGAATTGGTGACCTCCAGATGATTATCTGTGTGTTGTCTCAGACTAAGCCGAAGCAGACATGAATGCACAGATGCTGCTGATTGACCTTCGGTAACCACATTGTGGGACGTTTGTTCTTTTGCAAAAGTCTTGTGAAACATTGATTTATCAAATTCTTTCTCGTAAACATCTAGCTTTCCATTTTCTCTCACAGCTTGGTTAAAAGATCCGTTATTTTCAAAAATCTCTTCACCTTTGATCTCTTTTTCATTTGAGTGAAAATGTCCACTTAGCAGAGTCTGTGATCTTTCATTGCTTTGCGTTTGAAAAATGGGCTTTAAATTTACGTCATTCCCTGAATGTGTGACCTCCTGCTCGTTATCTGCAAGCTGCTCTATTGTGCCATCCTCAAACGTTGAATCTGTGCAAAAACTATCGCTATCATCCCTGGCATCATTGGCTACATTCTGAAGCTCTGATTGTTCAAAAATGCCGTTGTTGTCTTTTGTGTGCTGATTTATCAGTAGATCTTTAAGGTCGATTTGTCTTTGCATTTGCAGCAGTCTGAGTTTCACCCTCATCCAACTGAGGAAATACATCCTCTCCGCTTTGTCTGTGGTTGAAACAGCATTTGTGAAATTCTTCATAGATGGAGTCTTTTTGTATCTGCTCAAACTGCCCAGGATGTCTTTTCTCTCATTTTGTAATCGAGGGTCAAACTCATTCCCCTCTTTCTTCTTTCGACTTTCCTCTTTCTCAATTTCAGTCAACCTGCTCCATATGCTACTTTGCAGTGGCAGCTGTTTCTGCCTAAACACAGCAGATCCCTCATGCAAACCTTTCAGAACTTCCTCTGCCATGTGCATTGATTTTTTACAGACTGTCCCTTCATCGCAATGAACTCCCAACTCCACTGCTAACTTTGCTGCTCCTTCGAGTGTCACAAGTTTCAGGTCTGGCAGCAAATGTTTGACGGTATCGCAAAGTACATTCGCAAGGTTCTCTGCCTTCAAAGCTCTCCCTGACACAATTGATGCATCTGGATGACCTATCGCCTCCGGTAGGTTCTTTTCGACGAACTTCACCACTCTGTCCTCCATAGTCTCGGCCTCTGAGAGGTCAATCAAAATGAGCTTGGCAGTCATATCTTTGCAATAGGCGAGAAGTTGCTTCTCTTTCTGCTTTGGATTGCGACAGAAAAAAATAACCACGGAAGATGCTTGGCTGAGAAGGGAGAAGCATTTCTCATGCGTACTTGCATCTCCCCGAAGGTTAGAGAACACCACTGGAACCGGGAAAATGTCTCTGTTTGGGTCTCCAGTCGGAAGATACCATGCAGTTTCCACGAGACCGTTGGAGAGGCTTCGTGGTAGTTGTCCTCCTTCCATTCCTTTGTGGATGAATGTTTCACTGCCGAAGACGTGATTTAGCACCTCAGACTTTGAGACACTGCAGGGACCAAGCCTCGCACACGAGATCATTGGCATGGAGGTGCTCGCCAAAACAGCTTCTTGGATTTTTTGATGACTATCTACAGACTGGGGTTGCCATTGTCTCACGACACCTCTCAAGGGCCAAAGGAGGAAGCTGCTTGATTCTTCGTCATCGACATGCGGAAGAATCAGGGGTACGGCAAACTGGCATTGCAGCATATGTGCTGTGATCTCTTGCTGAAGGAAAGTGTTGGCACATATAAAGACAGCTGTCACTAGATCAAGAGGATTGATGGAACAGGAGCGTAATCCTTTGGAATCAACCCTCTCACCAGGACTGTCCATTATGCCTGAGATGGGCTTGTAGCAAGTACTCCGAGCATCTGGGCGAAGCAGCCACAGCCTTTGAAAGAAAGATTTGGGCAGATCATTGGTTTCTCGGGGTGTTAGGTTGTCCAGGATCCAGGTACTGAGGTCCAATATCGATGCTAGTTCCAATTGGGAAGGATAGAAATCCTCCAGACCAAGTTGGATTAGAACGTCGGATTTATTCTTTGGAGGCTCTGGTTTGAATGAAGCACAAACAGTTAGGTTGTTGTAGACACCTAGGTTACAATTTTTTTTTCCCGATGCGCGCTACCTACTCTGGTCACCTTGTCGCTACAGTACTCTAGTAATGCTTTTCCTTTGTTCAGGGTAGGTACTACCAGATGATATGTTGTACTATTTCAATAACCTGGCGAGTTGGGATGTCAAATGTGCTGAGCCAATAACACAATGGCAACAAAGACCACAGCTAGTTGCTCATTGGTTGAGCATATCGTCGTTGCCTGATCAGTGTAAGATTCAAAATAAACTGTGATGCTAATGCTAAATTAGCTTGGTGCTATGCCTCTGCGTGGTGCAGTACTTTGCAGTACTTTGTTGCTGCAGTCCATTTTGTTGCTGCCCTCTTTTTCAACACACAATAAAACAGACACATGCAATGGACTAATTACAAGGCACACTCATTCTTCTCCAATTTTGTTGTTGGTTGTGCTTTCAATACATAGTGTTTTTTTATACAGTACTTCACTAATTGGAAGTGCTAAAATCACCCCAACCAAAATTTAACAGTGGAAAGGGTATACTGTCATGCTAATGCAATTATTATTCCTAACACTGTTAAAAAATAATTACCGGTACACCCTTAAAGCATTGTTACGAGAATAAATGTAATGATGGCTTAGGATTTTAGTATGGTAAAATGTCCTGTGATTCAGTCATACATTACATTCAACATTTTGGTGAGCGCACTGGCAGGTTAGTACTTAATCACACATTGGACATTGAACTGATTAACAAATTTAGTGTCATAGGTGGTACCGGAAATGGTATAAAATAACTCCACTACTTAAGAAATACGGTAATGTGAATTGCGCAATAATAGTAACATGAAAATCAACTTACTTTTCCTTTTGCTGCTCAGCCTCTTTGAAACTTTGGTTGACATGATGAACTTCCTTTTTTTTTTACTTCTTCCTTCTCTGTTCTCCAAATCACATCATTGAATGAAACTGTGTCGAAATCTGTGATTGAATTTAAATTCACTGCGTTAAAATCACTCGCGTAAAAATGCTTTGACCTCATTTCAAATGTTCTTTTGAAATGTGTAGATTGTGCATGTTCTTACCTATCTCTCCTCATATATTTGGTTGAAATTAGCTGTTGTTGTCAGAAAAGACGGCACATATTCCTTCACACATACTGAGTCAGAAGTCAGTGGCTGTCACCAACCGGTGGAGCTCTTATAGCCGTCTGTCTGCACATTCCTCGTGTTGTCTTCTATCTCCAGCATCCATCATGTACACTAGGTCTATTAGTCGCACGCATAAACGCACGTAAGTGGCACCACTGGTTGTGTCAACTTTCTTTGCCTGGCACAAAAAAAAAAAATGCACATACCAATATTGTTGGAATTTGGCTGGAAACGAAATGAGTCAAACTTGATAAATCTTCATTGTCACATTGACATGCTCATGTACCTGCTTACATCTTTCATTCTACATTTGATATGTAAAAACGTGTATCGAAAAATACATTATTATTATGATTCGTTTTTTGTTTTTTTTAATCTGAAGTACACACATTCACACTCCCACTTTCGAGCAGGCTACACGGTGACCTGGCACTTAGTGTGTGGGCAAGAGATTCTCGCGCGTCTGTACTCATACTCAAACTCAAACAAATAAACCGATACGATGGGCCTGATACTTTTATGTAAAAACAATTAAGTTCTTCAAAATGAATTAACTCTTCTCAAGTAATGACAGAGGCCAAGGCAGAGATTCTCAAGTCAGCTGCCATCCTGTTTCAAAGCCACAGTGTGGCACATCGAGTAAAGAGAAGTAAAACGGTTTTCCTGTCACAGTCTTATTTTGTGATAAGTTGTGGTATTCCAAAGAAGCAGTCTTGTTTCTGTGATTCCTGACTTTATTTTTGTAGTTAACACACAAAGCACCAGACTCAATGTTGTTCTTCGCCTATTATTTCTTCTTCATCTCTTACCTACTGAATGTAATTCATCTACAGAGTGCCCCCTAATGTTCAGACTGAGACACCACATAACTGAAACTGTTATAGGTGTGAGATGTGTGCCAAGAGTGCAAGAAAAACATGCAGTTGGCTGTTAAAATATCATTCACGGTCAATTGTTCCTCTAAAAAGTTGTACTGTATACTTGTTTGAAACTTGGGCCATGTTCAAGACAAGCTTGTGTTCATGAACCAGATGTGATTACAGCAAAACATTTTCATCAAAATCTGCGGCAACGATGCATCCCTAATTTCCACTTCCAATAACAGTCCATGACAGAACTCTTTGACTCGACTCGCACACAATTTTGTGAGTTTTGACGACTACTAAGGAAAACAATTACTCGGCGTGGTGTGTGTTTGCACTGTGGAGAAAGATGCCAGCGCACCTGAGGGATAAGTTGTTGGGCGGAGGACAAAGATTAGCTCCTCTCTATTTGTGTCTTGCAAAGCTCTTTAACATGTCCTGCAAAGCTCTATTACCTTCATGTGTCAGACACTGTGGGAGTAAAGTGTGTGTGTGCGTGCGTGCGTGCGTCTTGGAGCAAGTGCGAGCTGCCATAATCAAGTCAATTGTCCTTGTGGAGCCGCTTTTCAATCTTCCCTTGGTGTGCCCCCATAGCTTCCCTTCAGCGGCACTGTGGAAAACGAGCTGAGGGCACGAAGGACTGTCGAAGTGAACGCCGAAGTGCTCAAGATGTTGATCACCATGTTAACAGCCATCTACGTGATGGTCCGAGTCGCAGAATCGGTAAGGCCATGAGAACGGCTTATGAAAGATCCTGTCATTTATGTTAGTGGTGGCAATAAGATTGAATAAGAGGTGACAAAAGTTCTCCGATTCTGTACTTAAGTAGAGGTATTTGTGTCGGGAAAGACGTGTGTAAAAGTCGAGGCACTGATTTGAATCCTTTACTTTCGAAAAAGTAAAACAGTACAGACTCTGCAATGTAATTAAAATTAATTTTACAGTCAATTACTTCCAATATCTGTTTTAATAACTCGGGACAATGAACAATTCTTGTTTTTTTTGTTTTTTTGTTTTTTTAACCAAGAGCTAGTTAGCTCCCACATCTCAGCTAACGTTTTGAATTGACGGAGAAAAAAAAAAAGTAAAATTAACGACTCGGAACAACTGAAGAATACAACTTGCATTTATTTATTTTACAAATCAGAATTTTTGAATACCAGCTGGTGTTTTTTAGACTGGCACAAGACAACACATTCACCACGAATCAATTATGTTGATGTGGAATATGCTATCTTGCTTTGTTGCCGTCATTACTGCTATCGGGTTCACATATCTCCATGTTGCTGCCATTCCTGTTTTTTTTTTTTTTTTTTTTTTTGCTTGGTAACAGACCAAGATCTCAATCAATCGATCTCGACTGTGGTTGACTTTACCTCTCACTAGTTATGTTGTCATCAGCAGCGGTTAAACAAAGTCAAGAATTTCAGGAAAGCAAAGAGCTGAAAATTCAAATACTCTTTGTTTTTAAGTATATGTATCAGTCAAAATATGCTGTAAAAATAAATGCTGAAAAATCGACTTGAGCACAATAGCAAAGTAATCTAAAATCTAAACGTAACGATGTGGTTAGAGCGCTGCCGCCTAATGCTAAAAGCTGTTTCTGATGTTTTATATATAGTCTAATACGTTAGGCTTTTACAATATGTATGCAGTAAATATAGTCAAGTAAGACTAAAGGCAAAACATAAAAATATGAAGCAGTTCTACACAACTGCACCCTTGTATATGTATACATGAGAAATGACTTGCAACCTTACATTTGAAACTCGGTAGACTGCAATGTTGCATCTTTTGATTATTTTGTGTCAGCATTAATTTGACGTTTTTCATTTGAAGAACTCAATTTAAAGTTCAGCGCTTTTATTACACTCCTACGCATCGAGTTATTTAAATACAAACAATGATTAAAGAGAGGAAAATATCTGTCGTCAAGGGAAATAACACTACTAATAACGCATCATGAGATCTTCTCAGGCGCATTTAGTATTTCGAATTGCAACAAAAATGTGTTTGACCTTTTGTGAATCTAATTGCTGTTGTTTACGTTTGCAGATAGGGGAGCACTTTGCCCGTCAGCAGGAGCCTCTGCCTTACATGGTGTCCCAGCCTTTGCCTTGGCAGGTGCATTCGGTGTCACACAGCCGCAGAAGCAGTAAAGCAGAAGAGGTTCGCAAACGCTTTGCTCGCATTAATCCTAACGTAGTGTCTTGGGTCAAATTTGAACCGTTTTGATATTTGGTCGCAATAAAAGGACCTTAAATGTCGTTCGTTCACTAAGAAATTGGAATGACTTTTCCCAAAAGTCAGCCAAAAAAACACAAACATGAAAATATTCAAAAATGTCTCTCGTTTGTACAGGTACTACTGTTTGTGTACACTGTGATTTTTGCAGGTCAAATTTGACTCGTGTCCTTTGTAAAATGGATTTTAGATTTAGAAATGGTGTTCATTTTGAAAATCTGAACCTTGATATATGTTTTATGGGTCATACAGTATGTACCCGTGCTCAAGTGGGAAAATCTAAAAAAGAAAAAAACACTGTGAAGAGTCTTCCTACCACATTTGCACAAGTTGTCTCGTAAACATGCTGCTGTTCGTTTTTTTGAAGGGTCAGTGGGGGTTTTCGGGGGATTTCAAAACAGTGAAAGAGTGCAAGTCATCTGTTTTTGTATTTTTATGGGACAAACAAAAACATATACATAGAGACAACTCCCCCAATTAAAGTGTCAAAGGGCATAAAATGATCCTACACACTGAATAGAAGGTAGAGAAGTCTTACAGAGGTCGCAGAGTGTGAGATCTGCTCCTTCAACATCAAGTACCTGCAAAAATCCTTTTTTCTGAAACATTGATTACAAGTTAATTAATCCATTTATTCATGTCAGACTGTTATTTCGTTTTGAAATAAGTAATTCAATTTGATAGAGAATTATTGTGAGGATATTCCTGTCTGAGATCAATATGTGCACAGAGAATGAACAGTATGAAAGGGTTCAGCAAATACCGTACACATATACTGCACACAAGGCCCATCGTGCACCCTCAAAAATGACTTTTCACATAACACTGAAGGTGTCTGAAACACAGCGTCTTGTTCACTGTGCTGTTATTCGCTCATCAAGATCGTGAATGATGACTTGAAGAACTTCTTTAGAGTGGAAAAATTACATTTACCATACTGTGATCAAACAAAATGGATGTTAAAACCAGTCAGGCTGAAGTACATCTGTCATCACCTTATGCATACTTTTTTGAACTGCAGTTTTCCTCACTCTGCGCCTTAAATTGATTTCGTTGTGGTTATTCCGATCATCCAAAGGAGTTTGATGTTCCAATCACTGCAAAATGAGCGAAGACTTGCAACATGTGAGTGAAGCCAAAACAACACGTCGACCATTTTGTAATGGGGAAAAACACCTGACTTTCCTCAATAGGGAGGCACATTCCATCCTGCAAATGGAGCCTGTTTGATGACTGGTACTGCTTTGACAGGCGTCCAAACAGGCTCTGATACATAGCATTTAACTGCTTGCCCAACAAGGATTGGCTGTGAAACAGTAATGGAGAGGAAACAGCCCCAACAACAATTATTTAAAAAACAAAACAAAACAAAACATGGCGAACAGTTTGCAACTAATGGAGTTACCAGATAAGGTCAAAGTTAGCCTAGCTTATCTTTCTTCCTCTTTTTTTTGGCTAACTGAATGCTCTGTGACACAATACAGGATCGAAATGCTTCTACGCCAAACATCTGATTGAGGGGCTTTGGAAGATGGGTACTGTTTTGGTCATTTGGACGACACTGCGCATGCTAGGAAAACTGGCCCAGTTTGTCCTCGCTAAGTATCGGGCGCTCGTATTTGAAAACTCATTCAAGATGGTAAAACTCGCTACGTGCGTACACGGCTTAAGGTGACCTTGGGCCTGGTGTTTGAAGTCAATTGTTGTGTGGTGCGACAATCAGAGCGGCCACAGAGCCAAGTTAGTTAGCTAAGCCATTAGCCTTTAGCCTTTAGCATTCAACCTTCAAGCTTCTCCTGCTGTGCTTCGGCTGCAAATCCCAATCAAGGCGATTTGTCTTAGAGGTCATTACTTAAAGTCTGGAAATCTCTCATATACACACACACACACACACACACACACACACACACACACACACACACGCACAATGCCGGGCACAAGGCTTGTCATGCACGTGGCACCACAGACACATGCTGTCGTTCA